GGCAGTGTGGCCTGCAGAGGGGTCCCGGGGGCGGGCAGTGTGGCCTGCAGAGGGGTCCCGGGGGCGGGCAGTGTGGCCTGCAGAGGGGTCCCGGGGGCGGGCAGTGTGGCCTGCAGAGGGGTCCCGGGGGCGGGCAGTGTGGCCTGCAGAGGGGTCCCGGGGGCGGGCAGTGTGGCCTGCAGAGGGGTCCCGGGGGCGGGCAGTGTGGCCTGCAGAGGGGTCCCGGGGGCGGGCAGTGTTCCACCTCCCCCCACCCCGGCCGTACCTTGGGGAACCAGGCTTTCCTCTCCCTGTCCCACTCGAACTCGGTGCCGTCCGCGTCCACGAACGTGCTCGAGCGGCCCCACGCCTCCTCGGCCTCTCCGCCCTCCAGCAGCCGCTGCAGCCGCAGCTGCTCATGGAAATCGGCGTTCGCCTCCTGACCGCTCATCCTCCGGGCCCGAAAATTAAACACGAATCGGCCCAAAAATAAAAAGGCGGTCAGCCGCCACTCTCTTAAAGTCGCCTTAAAGCACCTCGATACGCAGACTCGCCGAACTCTGACCTTCAGCTTCCTGTTTGAGATGTCATTTCCGGGAGCTGGCAGGGGCTGGATCATATGGTTTTGCTGGAGGAGTTGCTGATGGTTCAGATACAGGTGTATGTATGGTCTACAGATAGGTTCTCATCTACCTGTTAAGGGATAGAGTCATGGAGGTGTACAATAAGGAAACAGACCCTTTGGTCCGACTTGTCTATGCCAACCAAATATCCTAAATTAATGTAGTCTCATTTGCCAGCATTTGGCCCATATCCCTCTAAACCCTTGCTATTCGTATACCCATCCTGATGCCTTTTAAATGTTGTAATTGTATTAGCCGCCACCACCACCACTTCCTCTGGCAGCTCATTCCATACACGCACCACGCTCTGCGTGAAAATGTTGCTCCTTAGAGGGGACCTTAAACCTATGCCCTCTAGTTTTGGAATCCCCCACCCCAGGGGAAGAGACCTTGTCTATTTATCCTATCCATGCCCTTCATGATTTTATAAACATTGATAAGCCACCAATGCTCCTGGGAAAATAAGCCCAACCTACTCAATCTCTCCCTAAAGCTCAAACCCTCCAACCCTGGCAACATCCTTGTAAATCTTTGCTGAACCCTTTCAAGTTTCACAGCGTCCTTCCTATTAGCAGGGAGACCAGAATTGCATGCAGTATTCCAGTAGTGGCCTAACCAATGTCCTGTACAGCCGCAACATGACATCCCAACACCTATACTCAATGCATTGACTAATTAAGGCAAGCATATCAAACGCCTTCTTCGCTATCCTATCTACCTGTGACTCCACTTTCAAGGAACTATGAACCTGCTCTCCAAGGTCTCTTTGTTTACCAACACTCCCCAGGACCTTACCATTAAGTGTATAATTCCTGCTCTGATTTGCCTTTTCACAATGCAACACCTCACATTTATCTAAATTACACTGTATTTGCCATTCCTCGTCCCATTGACCCATCTGATCAAGATGCAATCGTACTCTGAGGTAACCTTCTTTGGTGTTCACTACACCTCCAATTTTAGTACTTTAAACTTTAGCAGAGGCAATTACAAATTATGAGGCAATGCTGGCCAAAATGCATTGGGAAGACACATTAAAAAGGTGATGCAATAGAGGAACAGTGACAGACTTAAGCAAATATAACTTCAACAAAGATAGGATCACTTCTCAATGGAATATAGGAGATAGCAAAGGAAGTTAAGGATAGTTATTATATTGAAAGAATAAAGCGTACAATACTGTGACGATTAGTTGAGGTAGGTTAGAAAATTGGACAGATTTTAGAAAACAGCAAAAAATGATTGAGAAATAAAGAAATTAGAGTCTAAATGTAAGCTAGTTGGGACGTCAATGTCTAGAGGGTCCCAGGACAGTGAATATACTGGATCACCACCTGCATGTTGCTTCCATGTCACTCACCATCCAGATTTGGAAATATATAGCTGTTTCTTTTGTGTTGCTAGGTCAAAATCCTAAAACTCCCTCCCTAAAAGCATTGTGGGGGTACCTGCAGTAAATAGACTGAAGCAGTTCACAGCATCTTGTCAATGACAACTAAGGGTGGGCAATAAATGGTTAGTGATGACCAGATCCCAGGAATGAAGTGACAAGATAGATAGAAACGTAAAGGGAAATCTCTTTAAAGTGCCACATCAAAAATAATTACGTAAAATAAGAGGTCATGGAGAAGGGATTAACATAACAGTTTAGGAGTTTGCTAACAGGAGGTAAATAGGGACAAATAAATAATTTTTGGGTTGGCAAAATGTAAGCAGCAGAATGCCACTGGATTCAGTTCTGAGGCACAACTATTTACAATCCACATCAATATACCAATGATTTAAATGAAGGGACTGAATACGTGATTGTCAAATTTGCCAATAACACAAAGATGTACAGAAAGGTAAGTTATCAAGAGGAGATAAGCTATTGTAAAACATATGACGTGGGAGCAGAATTAGGCCATTCGGCCCAACAGGTCTGTTCCACATTCGATCATAACCAATATGTTTCTCAACCCTATTCTCCCTTTAACCCTTGATCCCCTTATCAATCAAGAACCTGTCTTAAATGGCCTCAATAACTTGACCTCTGCAGCCTTATGCAGCAAGAGTTTCACAGATTAACCGTCCTGTAGCTGAAGAAATTCATCTTTCTCTCAGTTCTAAATGGTCATCCCTTCACTCTGAGGCTCTGAACCCTCAGGACTTAGTTTCTCCTACTAGTGGAAACATCTTCTCCATGTCCACTCTATCCAGGACTCTCAGTACTCTGTAAGTTTCAATCAGTTCCTTTGTCCAGCTTGTTATCGGATAACATGAATAGTTGTGGTCCCAACACGGACCTCTACAGAACTCCACTAGTCACTGGCTGCCATTCTAAAAAAAATTCCTTTATCCCTACTCTCTGCTATCTGCCAGACAGCCAATCTTCTATGCATGCCACGACTTTGCTCTTAGCACCACATACTCTAATTTAGCAATCTGCAAAGGGAATTAGGTTTAATGAGTGGGTAAAAATTTGGCTGATCGCATATGACATGGGATAATGTAAATTTGTCCACTTTGGCAGGAAGAATAGAAAAGCTGACTGTTACTTGAATGGAGAGAGATCCTTCTATGGTGCAGAGGACTCTTGACATCCTGACACATAAAACACAGAAAACTAGTATCTGGGTAGAGCAAGCCATGAGGAAAAAAATGGAATGTTGGCATTTAATGCAAGTACACAATTAAAGAAATTAAATGGCTTGTGGCACAATAGCAGTGGCCCTAACATTTAACCTGGAGGCTTGGGTTCAACTCCCACCTACTCCAGATGTGTGTCATAACACATCTGAATAAATTAGTTAAAAATATCTACAATTATAAAAGTAGAGATGTGTTACTGCAACTGTGCTGGGACCACATGTGGAATACTATGTACAGTTTTGATCTTACTTAAGGAAGTATTGATTTGCATTAGAAGCATCTCTGAAAAGGTTCGCTCGATTTATTCCTGTGGTGAAGAGGTTATCTTCTGAGGAAAGACTGAAAAGGTTGGGCCTTTAGAAGAATGAAAGGTGATCTTATTGAAATATATATGATCTTGAGAGACTCTTTAGAGGGCAGACATTGAGAGCATGTTTCCACTCGTAAGGGAGTCTGGAACTAGGGGAAAGAGTTTAAAAATGAGTTGTCTTCCATTTAAGGCAAAGAGGAGCAGAAACATATTCCCTCAGAGGGTCACTGGTCAGTGGAATTTTCCTACCCAGGGAATAGTAGAGGCTGAGTCAATTTAAGATGGAATTAGAGAGTCCACGGTGAGGGAGGATGAACAGGAAAGCAGGGTTAGGGCCACAGTCAGATTAATCATGATCTTATTGCATGGTGGAACAGTCCTGAGCTGCCGTACTGCCTATTGTTGCTTCTAATTCTTGTGTGGAATAGGGACAAGGGCACCTAACACTTGACAGCGCGCCTGACACTTCCACCACCCTGCAAAATGGGACCAAGTCTGAGGGTCCACAGCAAGGCAGCAGGCAGGTCATGCAACAAAAACAGAAGTTGTTGGAAAAGCTCAGCAGGTCTGGCAGCATCTGTGAAGAAAAAATCAGAGTTAATGTTTCGGGTCCGGTGACCCTTCCTCAGAACAGGGCAGGCCGTGAACTTCATTTTATAAATATTCTGTTTCAAACAAAGGGAAGATGGGGAACAGGGGGTCGGGGTGGCTTTACAATCCATCCTCACGTTGCAGCTGACCTTCACTTGTTAAAAGTGGACTGTCCCTTTTAAAATAGAAAAAATAAGAGCTGAAATGACTTTGGAATGCATAAGGTAAAAAGCAAAGATGCACATGGCAATCGTTGAGATTTAATCCTGCTTTGTTGAAACATCAACATAGCTAGACATTGTCCAGGGGAGAGGACATGTTTCCACAGACTCCTAAGGCTTTTGTGCAGAAGCCTCAAAACAATTCACAGTACATGGCAAGGGTGGTGAATGCCTGGAGTCTAGCCTCAAGGCATGGAACTAGGGCTTCAAAATGTTCAATAACCTGGTCAGAATGACATCTCCTACCCACTGTACCATGAACCATACAGCAGCATTCATGAACAAACATGATACCTTCTTAACGGGCAATATCTCCATCTCACCCTCAAAAATGCTCCAATGATGCCAGCTTTCACTCTTGCCACATTCCTCTAGCTATTCAGCTACAGAAGATACTTCAGAATACAACAGCAATGACGTTCTGCCCTGTTACAGGACAAGGTCATCCATAACAGTAGGGAAACCTAACAAATAGTGAGAGGGAGGTGGCATCTTCTCTCCTGTGGTTCCTTGAAATAATCACGGGACCACTAAAAACAGTGCCTATGTCATCTGGTATAGTAAAGGACATGGAGAAAGTTGGTAAGTGATGCTTTACATCCCATTTCAACTCCATACTTTCTTGCATTCCATAATGAGGGAGAAAATGAAAGCTACAGATGGTGTGACCCCCAGACTTCTTGCTTTCCCACCACCCCAATTTTATGCTTTAAAATGCCTAAAAACTGTAGCTGGGGCAGCTGAAATACAGGTTGGAAAAAGAGGGAGAGCAATACACTCGAGTGATGAGGAAGCACATTCATTTGATCTTAATTCCAACCACAGGTGCTGCCACATATTTCAGTCTAAAGTTGGGATCTGCATGTGGTAGTCGCCAAACACAGGTGAGCTTAGCCAGCCTGGGGTAAGAGAGTCACTTATTTGCCAGGTCCCAGTATGGCCAGGTGACAGGAATTCTGTTGTCGGGGGAGGGCTAAATGTGAACTTTGATGAGGCAGCATACCAATGACGGCCAATAGACATGTCCATCAGGATGCATTGGCAGGTCTGCCAGGCAGCTTCCTGATACTGTCAAGGAAGATGGAGGATTCTTGTTCCCATGTGGCAGAGGTAATTACACAAAATCTGGAGATCATCACTTCCACTGTGGAAGTATATATTTTTTGTATGTGTTT